AGGGAAAACATGAATAGAAACCCTGAAGTGGATAGATATGATTCTGGAATATGAAGACAGCCTTTTGGTGACTGAATAATGAGAGAGAGAGAGAGAGAGAGAGAGAGAGAGAGAGAGAGAGAGAGAGACCGGCCAGGAAGGTCTCTGCTATGATGTGGATGGCTCTTTTTTTACCTTTTCTTTCTTTATTTTTTTTAATGATTTTATTGAGAAACAGTAGCAATGAGACTTTCAAAATCGATTAGTAGGACAGTTTCAATATTTAATACGTTGCATATTGTTGTCTTCTTAGTGATTATTCATAATTCAAGATGCAGACATGACATCCTGTCCAAACACTATTAGTACAGATCTTTCTTCTCATTGAGTTAAGAGAAAGTAGCTGTATATCTATCCTATTTTGAATATACAGATACAAAATGGTCCTTCATTTGTATCACCTTCTTTTGTTTAGTTTTGTCAAAGAAGGGTATTCCATTATCATTTAAATATTGTAGGTGTGTGAATTCAGCAAAATATTCCATGTAGTCCAGTAGTACACAATAGTAGTGGGTTTTCCATAGGACTGGCAATGTCAGAAGTTGTTGCCTTGAGCCTTTTACAGCTCAGCATATTAATATGGCTTTACTTTTTATACCTTGTTTTTATACTTTTCTGCTGGATGGTTAAGACCAAGATGAAGCAAAACCTATATAACAAGAAATGTAACTTTTGTATCTGATAAGGTCAGTCAAGTCCCTTCAGGATTTATCCTGCAACCCTGTACCGCAGTTTACACATCCTTTGTCAGTGTCAGCCATGTGGATGAGTCACGGCCATTGCTTGATCTATTTGCTCTCTGTGAAAGCCTGAGAGAATGTTTTTTCTCCATATGACTCTACTTAGGCACACTCTACATCATAGATCACTTTCGTCTATGGCCCCATAATCTCCTTGAACAGAAAATTTGGGTCACAACTGAGGTACATGATGTTACAGTACAGATTCTCCTATGTCCTGAGTCCTCACTGACCTTGAAAGGCTAGGACCAAAATGTTGGCTGTCCTTGCATTGCAGGCTTTGAAAATGGCTCATGCAGGGATCTCACTGTCGGAGCAGGAAGCATCTGTTGCGTCCCCCTTCACGTCCAAAACTGCCAACATCGAATGCATGCCTCATCTCATCAGGTAAGCTTCTTCTTCCCCTTGCACCCCACAGGTGATGGGATCATTGTTTAGCCTTGGAAACAGATGGAAGCCAGCACTGATTCGATCCTAGGTAGAACAAGAGAGCATTGCTGCCACACTGGGAAGTGGGAAGTCAGTGCTGCTGGAGAGTGCTGGTTGCAAAAAATACCAAAAAGTGACCATTGCAAGCCCCAAAACACAAGCATATGTTGTGTAGACTATTGAAGCTTCAAATACTATTTATAGTTTGTGTTTCTTTTCCTCTCTTCCATTTCACATGATGGGGCTTTGGGATATTTCCCTCAGGAGTTTAGGATGGGCAAGATAGCTTCCTCCATATTGTAGGTCTCCGAGATGAAATTTAACAAATGCACAAAATGTTTGTGTAAACAATATTAGAATTGATTAGAGAAAGACATGGAAGAATAATTTATCTTCCCACCAGAGAACTCTCACTCCATTCTTATTTCTGATCTTAGCTCTACTAGTATTACATAGTTAAGAATGAAACACTAGGTTTTATGTTTTGCTATAAATTCATTTCCCTTGTTATTTACTGTCACATCTGCTGACAACATAAAGGTCAGTGGTCTGTAAGTTATCACCACATTTTAAGTATCATGCAGAGAAACAACCACAAAGTTCTATAGCACATCCCTTAGTGCACTAAAATGAACAGATTCCCAGAAGGAATGTGTCAGTGCTGGAATTCTATACCCTGACTTCATTTAAGCCAGGCAGTTGGCGTAGCCAACAGAGCCATCCAAGGCCATTGCCTCCTCCAGGCCCAAGGCAGCTCCACTTCCCAGCCTACACTCCCTGCTCCCAAGGCAGATTTCTCCTTAGTATCAGTCATAGAGGCTCAAAAGAGCTGAATACTTTTTTAAATTCTTTCCTCTTCTTGACCTATGCAAAGCATGTATTGTGCCTTACTGATTTTTCTTTGCAGTCTCCCCAAGTTCTTTGCACATCATCTCTATTGTCTTACCATTATGCTGTTTTGTGTCATGGTGACTATATAATAACAGTATTGATAGTGTGAATTTCATTATCAGTGCAGTTTATGGAGCACTTATTATATGTTGTGCTTAGAAATTATTACAAATACGTGTACACATACATATATATGCATATAATATAGATGTATGAATCACAATACAGAGAACCATACCTGGTACATATTAAGAGATGTTGCTTAAAATAAATTTGTCCGGAAAATATAAAAAATATTCCAGCTGTTGGGTGTAGGAACTCAAGCCAAGTTAGAAGGTTTCAGTGACTGGGAGGATCAATAGGACTTACATGCACAGAATGGAGGTAGGAGGGCTGGGGAGATAGCTCAGCAGCCTAAGCTCCTGCCTGGAAAGCGTCAAGACCTGAGTTCCATCCCAAGTACTGCATGCCATGCCACCCCTGCTAGAGAGGCTGAGACACGAGGATCACTATGAGTCTGAACTGTGTAGTCCAACCCTGTAGCCAATAAATAAATAAATAAATAAATAGAAATTTTAAAGAAAGAATGGAGGTAGGAAGGTGCTATGGCTTGTGTGTAGATGTCCCCCAAAGCCTCATGCAGTCACACAGGGACTTTCACAGAGGTGGCTCCATCTCGAATGTGTGAAGTTGAGATAGATTCACGGTGTGATGCTAGAATCAAAGGCATTAGGATGAAAGGTGAATGCTACCTGCCCCAAGTATTCTGGATAAGATACAAGGGATAGAAGGAGGCATGGCCGATTCTTATTACTTTGCTGCCTTCCGCCCACCATGAACTTTTTCTCCTCTGCTATGCCCATGCGCTGTGCCACCCTGCCTTGGAGCCAGCCAATTATGGACTGAAATCTCTACAAACTATGAGCCAATAATCTTTTTCCCTTTAATTTTGGATCTTAGTTATTTTGTCTCAGCAATGTAACGAACACAGAGGGAATTCTGAGGTGGAGGAATTGGAAATGGCCTGTTTGGAAAGCTGGGGAATCAGCTCAGAGACCAATTGGCAAAACTGGGCAGGAATTCTCAGGTAGGAGCTATGGAGTTACAGCTGGAGAAACGAGTGGAAGGCTTACCTGGCGAGTTTCACCTTCAGGATGTTTCTTTAAAGTGCCTACCTGATCATTCCAAAATGCACAACTTCAGATCTTCCTCATACATGTTGCCCAATGCCTTTATGAACACAGTATACTGTTGTACAACACAAGTCATGATGTAAAATTTTTCTAGTAGTAGATGGCTTAGTAAGACTTCAAGGCAGGGAGGCTTTGCTTCTACATTTCATAGATTCATAAAAAAATTAGACATAATTTGGCCTTATTAAGCTCATTTCACCCTTCGCTCTCTTTGATGTGTGCCCATTTCTGATTGAGGAAATGATCCAGGGGAGGACATACAGCTTTAAATGAGTAGGTCCAGACTCACAGTTGTGAGACATGATCCACTTGCTTTGTCCAAGTCTTTCAAGGTGAAGACTAGGTCTTCCTCAGTTCTCTCTGAAGCACAGCCTCTCACTAAACTTGGTACACCAGGGTGTTGGAAGGGTGTTTGTGGGACATCTGAAAAGATATGAGTTCAAAATTCATAATCACGAAAGATAGCAGTAACTTCAGAGGACCACAGTACTCTACTCTTTACTTAGAATAGTTTTATTTAAAGAATTTTGGATGACCACATGCACTCTACCCTTTCCTTAGGTTTAGGGCTTTGTTTGCATTTTCCCTTGAATTTTGGTGTTTCTCATTGTTTTGGGAATACACACAACTGCAGAGAAAGGGTAAACTCACAATATTTATGTTAGACTTAGAAGGACAATGCAGAATCCACCTGGGCTTGCTCTTCTCAGCTCAACTCTTGTTCCATTCTGTGTTGAACATAAATGGCAGTGCCTCACAGCCAGGTGGAAAGCATCTGTCCAAGCTCCCTGGCCCATTCCCAGCCTAACTCTCCTTCTTGCCTGAGGCACAGTGGTTAGTAGTTGGCTATGTTTTCCCTTTCCTGTCCTTGTTTAGTTGACAAAGTATTAGAACAGAGCAAATGTCTAAGTTGATGGGGCCAAGAAATGAAGTGGTGTGGGTCTCTTCCTCATAGAATCACTTCAACCCTGACTAAAGCAGTCTGCAGGACCTTCAGATACTCATTCCACCTTCCCCCTGGATGCCACCACCCAACAGAGCTCAGTTAAGAGAGCAACAGCTCTCATGGGAAGTTTTAAAATGGGGAATATCTGCTTTCAGCTGCTGTTCTTTTTATTTATTTATTTTTAAATTAATTTTATTGAGAAAAATATTGCAATGTGACAGCTTCAAAACAGGTTGGTAGGAGAGTTACAATTAATACATTGCATATTGTTGTCTTTATAGTAGTCATCCATAGCACAAGATGCAGACATGATATCCTGTCCAAACACTATTAGTACAGATCTTTCTTCTTATTGAATTCAGAGAAAGTAGCTATATATCTATCCTAACTATTTTGTATATATAGATACAAAATTGTCCTTCATTTATATCACCTTTTTTTGTTCAGTTTTGTCAGAGATGGGTATTCCATTGCCATCCAAATATTGTAGGTACATGAATTCAGCAAAATATTCCAATATAGTCCAGTAGTCCACAATAATAGTGGGCTATCCACAGGACTTACAATGTCTGAATCTGATGACTTGATACTTCCACAGCTCAGCATATTAACATGGCTTTACTTTTCATACCTCCTTTCTACACTTTTCTGCTGGATGGTTAAGAACAAGGTAAAACAATGCCTATACAACAAAAAATGTAACTTTTGTATCTGACATGGTCTGTCAAGTCCCCTCAGGACTTATCCCGAAATCCTGTCCTGCACTTTGTAGATCCTTTGTCAATGTCAGCCATGTGTATGAGTCACGGCCATTGCTTGACAAATTTGCTCTCTGAGAAAGCCTGAGAGAATATTTTCTCTCCATGTGACTCTTTAGGCACACACTACATCATTGATTACATTCCTCTGTGGCCCCATAATGTCCTTGATCAGAAAATTTGGGGCATTACTGAGTTATATGATGTTACAGTACAGGTTCTTCTATGTCCTGAGTCCTCACTGACCTTGAAGGACTAGGGCCAAAATGTTGGCTGTCCTTGTAGCCCTTCTTTTTCTCTAATTTTTGGTCTGCAAACTTAGGTTGTTAACCCTCCAGAAGAGAAGCGTACTATTGCCCTACAACATATGCAGTTGGGTTTAATCTCACTATCTGTCAGAATATCAGACATCTGAGGCATAAGATGGAACATTGTTAAAAAAAAATTTACTTGAGATGTAGTCTGTCCATAACTGGTATGATATGACAAGCAGTACATATTTAGAAGACCAGATTGACAGGCATTCCAAGCATGACCCCACTATTACACATTGTTATCTTTGGTGCAGTCACTCAGTTCACATGTATCAGTATACATAGTCCTGGTGAGAATCCTCCCCAGTAACTGCTAGATTCAACAACCTGCTGATAGTTCTCAGGATCATTGTCATACCCATCTTGTAAGTATAAATGTAGGGCTTTGCCCCTTTCCTGTTTCCTAGCTCTATCCTTGCCCTCTTTTCATTGTCTAATCCTCAAGTTCTCACTTTCCTTTCAATTGTGTTATACATTTCTATTTGTATTTCTTCTTTTGAGTTCTTATATTAGGGAGACTATACAATATTTACACATGTGTATCTGGTTTATTTCACTTATGAGTATATCTTCAAGTGGCATCCACTGACATATGAAGGCTTCAAGTTTATCATTCTTTATAGCTGAGTAGTATTCCATTGTATAAAAATACCACGTCTTTTTCATCCATTCTTTAGGTGATGGGCATCTTGGTTGTTTCTAAGATGTGTCTATGACAAATTGTGCTGCTATAAACATAGGCACACATATATCACTATGGTATATGATGTCTTCAGTTCCTCCGGGAAAATTCCCAGTAGGGGGATAGCTGGTTCGAATGGGATTTGCAGTCCTAGGTTTTTAAGGCTTCTCCACACTGATTTCCATAACGGTTGCACCAGTCTACATTCCCACCAGCAGTGGAGAAGGGTTCGTTTTTCCCCACAGCCTCTCCAACATTTGTTGTTAGTTGATTTGTTTTTGATAGCCATTCTTTCTGGGGTGAGATGGTATCTCAGTGTTGTTTTAATTTGCATTTCGTGGATGGCTAGTGTTGTGGAGCATTTTTTCATATATTTATTCACTTCTCTAATTTCATCCTCTGAGAAGTATGTGTTCATCTCAGATGCCCATTTCTGGATTGGGTCTTTAAATTTTGGGGTGCTAATTTTTTTTAGTTCTTTATATGTTCTAGAGAGCAGACCTTTGTCTGAGTACTTACTTGTCAAGATTTATTCTATATTTGTGGGTTGTCTTGATTTTGTTGGTAATTTCTTTTGACATGCAAAAACTTTCAGCTGCAGTTCTTAAAGGCTCTTGGTCTCCACACCAGCTCCAATGATTACCCTGGGTCCTTGGAAAACCAGAGCCAGCAATACTTATTCCACCTCAAATATCAGAGCAGCAGCCACGCTTCTGATAGTGTGAGAGCACCAAGAATCCTTTAGTTTCTTGTCTCTGATGGCCTCTGAAGCACACACAGCAATTTCAGGCAGCACGTATTGTTAAGATACAAGGACTCACAATCAAGTCAGTGCTGAACATTTTGCTTCCTGTCAGTGTTGCACTGTGTTTATAATATGCGTGGTAATCTTCTTACTTCAAGGAAAGCATCATGTTTGATTCCCTTTATATTCTCCATGACATTTAGCATAATCCTATAACTGTGTAAGCCCTACATGAAAGTGAATCTAGAATCAATAAGGTAGGTGACAACTGAAGGAGAGAATAAATGAATGAATGATGACTAAATAACTATTGAGAGGATGAATCAGTGATTAAGTAAATATATATCAATGGGCTATTAAAATCAAACTCCTTTGGAAATAGGAAAGAGACTAAGAGATGTGTTTCATACATAACCAGATTTATTTTATTGATTTATTTTTTTTACTCTCTTATTTATTATTTTTTCAAACAGAGAAGGACGGGCTGCTCTGGTTTCATCCTTTGGTGTGTTTAAGTACTTGACCATGTATGGGATAATCCAGCTTATTGGGACATCATTGCTGTATTGGGTATGAACCAAAATCATTTCTTTCCAGTTCTAATTATATTTGCAGTCGTGGTTCATTCTTTGTGATGTGGCTTAGGCACAGGTCTTTGTGTCTTACAGTGAATAACATTTCTGGCCTTAGGCTCCCATGTATTTGGGAACTTGGTGTAACAGTGCATGAAGTGTGGAGGTAGAAATAAGGAGATGTGGGTTCATTTCCTAGAGTGTTATTTTTCTCTGGATAACCCAAGACTCTTGACCCCTCCAAGCCCATTTTGTTCCTTTGGAGTGTAAAGAAAGTTTCAAAGTAGTCTAAATATAACTCAGTAGGAAGTGGCCCAGTCTTCAACTGTGGAATATTTGTGATAAAAGACCAGGAAAAGGTTAAAAGGAAGAGAAGTTGTTGGATTTGATTTTGAAGGACTATAATGTTAAAAATGTATCACACTGGAGGTTTATTCCTCAACCCACTCACTTAAACAGATAGACATACAGTTGGAAAAGGAGTATCAGTATTTTAATACTGAAAACATCTCTTAAAATTCAATTAAAATAAACATTTAATTCCACAATGACTGACTCATTGCTAGGATGGAATTAATTCAAATACCAGAAAATAGTGACCTAGTTTCATTCCATCCAATGAGATATCAAGGATTTTAGTTGTTATTTTCTTCTGTAGGGGGGAGAAAAATAATAGTTGCTTTCTAACTACTTTGAAAAGAATGTTTCAAATAATAACACTTCCACAATGGAAGCCACACTCATATTCACCTTTTTTTCTTTTTCAGCAACTACAACTCTTTGGAAATTACCAGTATCTCATGCAAGATGTAGCCATTACTTTGATGGTCTGTTTAACAAGTAAGCCTTTGAGCACAGCTAAGTGTTCATTTTCATCTATGAAAGTCTACAAATGCACAAATAAGAGTTTCTGAGAATATCATACTCTAATTGCTGAAACTTCATTGCTTATGAAATTTTGAAAGTAATGCTGGGCATGGGTTAAAGTTTGAAGTTCATACAATTTTCAGGAAAATATCCTGATAAGAAATAGATCTTAGCCTCAAAACTTCGCCAACATATTCAGTGTATTCTGTGTTCATTGTAGTTTATTCCTTGTACATAAAAAATGAATAAGAAATATAAAAAGAGATTTAAAAAAACCCAAAGGTCACTTTCCATTACTCAGCTATGCTTCATATTGATGTAAAACTAGGTCTTTTCTGGGTCTCTGATATGTGAGAACAAATGCTAACATTTTAGGCTAGTGGAATTCTCTCAAAAGCAAGGTGGGGCTCCCAGCAAGCGTTGCTCACTTCCTTCCTTTGAGATGACATTGATAAAATATTTCCAATCAACAAACTCAAGGCTTGATACTAGCTCTTAATAAGTGAGAACAGAGACTGCTGCAACAGGGAATAAAGAAAAAGAATGGCATTGTCATCTTCTTTTCTTTGTTCAACAATGGAGTATTATGAAAAATAACAGGTAAAACATTAACCACTGCAAGCTATTAATAACCTTGAGAGGTTCATGTAGCATCTTAAAACACGAAACTGGTATTGAATTCATTTATTACATCAACCCAGTGACAGGGTTTATGAGTAGCATAGATGTAAGTAATATCAATTTTGGTTATTGGGGTTGAGATGTCTCTTCATAGCCTATTAAATATTTCTTTATATGTTATCAATGTTCATATGACTGAATAATTTTGAATCAATGATGTTTCTTCTTTGATGTTGGATATTTTTAAGCAATTTGCATGATTTATTTGTGAATGTTGGTGAAAAGCAAAAGGAAAACTAGGCATTTTCAAGAACTAAGCTAGCCCACAGCGATGCAGGGGAGAAGTCATGACTTTCCTTCACAATGCCCTGTCTCTGTAATCTTTGGCAAGTTGCTTAAGAAATATATAATTTCTTAACACGTAATGTTTTTATAACATCTGGAGGTCAGAAAAAAATTGGTGCCTATGGAGTATGAATTATTGTGCAGGTTATTCTGAGCACTCCTAGAAAACCGAATAACCTTCCACCACACCTCTCCTCTTTGTCTTCTTTTGAGAAGACTGGTTAGCTCTCTAAATGGTCTGAATGGATGAAAAAGATATCAGAATGGATTGCGGGAGCCTGAATGTGTAACTAGAAACCCCAAAACATGAGCATCAGTTCTAACCTTGCCTCAGAATTATTGTCTGACCTAGAGCAAGTGTTCTGATCTTTTACGCACTTAATTCTGTGATACTGGTCCCTGGTCGTGGATGTCACAGGGACAGCCTGTTGGCCCTCATGCTACCTGGCTACTCTTGAACCATTCCTCATCCAGCATGGACTCACCGAGGGCTGGGTACCTCAGAGCAGGCCTATGGTTGTCTCTAGAAGTGAAAAGCCAGGGGGTGGAGGGCAGAAACGTGATGTCCCATCAGAACGACTACATCTTATCAAGTTAGTCAGGAATCGCAGGGCTGGTTTGGCAGGTGCAATGACCTCTGAGGTGATTGCTGAGGAGGAGCATAGAAGCGGGACACAGGTGTTTTTGTTTTATTGTTACCCTCTGACTTCAAACACTTATTTTCCCACCCTGAAAATGCAGTCATCCCAAAGGCAGATCATTTTCTGGATAATTCTAGGCATTAAACTGATCTCATCGTTAGGTATGAGAAGTCCCGGCATCATAAATTAATATTCCACATTTATGTCTAATTGAAAGCTTTTCTTTACCTATATCAAGGCTGACCTATAGGCTTGGAGGAAGCAGTGGGAGAGAAAGCAAATGAATTCCCTTGTGTCACACACTCTCCAACCCTGCTTCAGTGAATAAAAGCAAGAAGAGAATATTTGTTACTGGGCTGGGGAGATAGCTCAGTTGAATAAGCGCTTGCCTGGCAAGCACAGGGGCTGAGTTCAATCCCTGGCTCTTAGAAAAAAAAGGAATATTTGTTAATGAAGTCTGGGGTTGTGAGAAGCCCTAGGATGGCAGGCATCTACAGTCAGGTGATCCTGCAGGCTGCAATGGCACTTTCAGAGTTCCCTGAGCAGTGGTCTAGATGACAACTTCCTGACATGGACACTGCTCTCCTCTCTGACTTCTCAGGAATATTTTCTGCAGCTATCTCCAGGTGGAACATACCTGAAAGACTAGCTGGTCATAGCACTGGGCATATTCCTTCCAAGACAGCATTAGCCTAGCTAATTTCCTTGGCTTCTACTTGATCAACCAGATTGTAGTTGTGTAACTTTCTCTTGCTCCTGCTTCCCTCCCTCTCCCCACCGTGTTACAGCAGAGATGGAGCGACAGGAGCCAAATGCCCCTCCTGTCATCTCAGGCTCTTCTATGGTGGTTCTCCTGACCTCCCTCGTTGGGCTAGAGCAGAGCAAGAAGAAAATATTAGTTCATGCTACTTCTAACAATTCCCTTTTGAAGAATTCCTTGAAAATCTTTGTAGATTTTTCTTGTAGAGCCAATTCATAGATAACATGGATGGGGTAGTCATGCTTTTAGTTGAAGGACAGATATGCGTGTCTCTTGTAAGTGTGGTGAGGATGTTGTGATCATCTCTCTTCACACTAAATGGACACTTCCCATTGACGGTCCTCAGACACAAGGCCTGGTAACACTCTTCACATGCAGGAGAAACCCAGTTCCACCCCCTGTTAGACTGATGTTCTTCTCTTATTCCACATAAAGAAATGGTGCTTGGAAAGGCTGCTGGCTCAAGTTTAGAGTTTAGTGAGGGTTTTACACAGACCAGTGAATGGCACACAAGCCCAGATTACCAAATGGCAGGGAATTCCAGATGCTTTGGAAACTCAGGGTAAGGAGAGATCGCTCTCTGAATAAGGAGGAGATAACCATGGAGAAAGGAGAGAGAAATAGTGGTAACTTCATGGCAGAAGTAGTATCTCCACTTCTACAGGAAGGATGGGGAGAGCTCAAAATTTTGCAAAAAGGGCATTTCAAGAAGAAAGAAGTAGCATGAGCAGTAGAGTTGATAAAATGAGGTTTGAGTTTTTCAGTTTGACAACACTGTAGGATTTGGAAAATAAGCAGCAGGAGACACCGGTTGCACAGGTGGGGTGGGCGGGGTCTCAGAGTCCCTACTGCCAGGCTGAGCGCTGTGCGTGTGCATCTCCAGCCCTTGGGAGTCACTGGCAGTTGGTGTGACCACTGTCCAATGTCTCTTATCGAGGCTCCTTCCTCGGCCAGGTTTTCAGGCAAAGGCATAGGGTACTTAGAAAAGACAACACAATCACATACTAAATTAGTGTACTTATCTGCCTTATTGCCACAGATTATAAGGCAACCGACACTGCGAGAGTGATATAATGCTTTAAGGAGAAAAATCAAGAAGTTAGGAAGTCAATTAATTAGGAAAATGCATGTGTTTTTTGTTTTGTTTTGTTTTTGTATTGGGGATCAAACTCCAGATCTTGCACTTGCCAGGCAGGTGCTTATGCTCCTGAGCTGTCCCCTTGGCCCTAAAAAAAATGCATGTCTTAAAGTCCAGTATAACCCAAATCTGAAAAGCAGCTGTGTGGAAGACTCATGCTAACATCTCTGTCCTCTTTGATAGAAGCCGCTTGAACTAGATCAAGAAAACAAAGAAGGAAACAATTAAAAAGTATAAATCTCAGAAAAGAAAACTTGAGAACAGAAAGACTGAAGCACTTGGGCCTCAGGAAGGGTAGGGTGCAAGCGACCCCCAGAGCCAGATCACTTTCTTTATTTCCAAATAATCTTCTTTGCCCTCTCCTCTTTCTTCCCACTCCTATAATTTTCTTCTGACTTCTACTTCAGCTTGTAGATGTCCCTCAAAGTGACACTGCAATGAACCTCCTCAGCCTTTGTTTGTCCTCCTGTAGTAAATGCACTTGGCCTCTCATTGCTCCACTTGCCAAAGTTTGGAAGAGAAAAAATCATGACAACTTGAGTTTAATGACCACCTCTAAGCCATGATTTTTATGAATGAAGGGAGCTTTGTATAATTCCACCTCAGACCAAATACTTATGTCAAATACTTCAACACACAGGAGGAGCTGGTATCCAGAGAAGGAGGTGTGGGAGGAAATCTCTTCCTTACATAAAAACAGCCCTTATTCAAGCCCCATCAATGTTTCCCTGGGTCCTAACCTTTTCTGCATAGAACCCCTTGGAGAATCTGATGGAAGATACAGATCTTTTCACTTTAGAATTCTCAGTCTGCAACTCAGAATTTTGCACTCAGTCTTGGTAGGTTTACAAGCCTCTTGCTGTTTGACTTACTTGATTTGCAAGGTGCATAATACATAGTAAATCAACTACCAGCAATTCAAATGAGGCTGAACAATTAAAAATTATACTTCAAGAGAAGAATTTGAAATGGAAAATTCCTCCCAGGTTGCAGGTTCTGTGCTAGGTTTTGAGTGGGCCAGAAAGGGGAGTGAGTCAGGATTTTTTCCGTCAGGCTGCTCACAGTCTGCAGAGGACAGATGTAAATAATTAGATAGGATGCCAGACACCCCGCACTCCAGCAGCCCCAAGAAGAATGTGCTGTGAGGACTCAGAGGAGGGAATGATTCATTCTGGATAAAACTATCTCACCAGCTTGCTTTTCCTCTGCGCACAATGTGATAACATGTATTCTTGTCATTTCAAGGCAATCTGGATAATGTAGAAAAGCTCTGGCTACTGATAAACAGTGGTGCACCTCGCTGCTGTTTATGCACCCCAGGATTTCAGGGCTTCTTGTTCTGCTCTCCTTGATGTCAGAGGACTGCGGCAGTGAACAGCGCTGTAGAGCAGGGATCATGGCACTTTGCTGTCAGACAGACTTGAGGTCACACCATCTTTCCGCCAGCAGCCAAAGGCCTTTGGTGAGGACCTCCACTTCTCAGAGCCTCAGTTTCTCCTTGTATAACATTTTCCTCCTTTCCGTTGCTTTTTAAGGAAATACAGATCATCTTCATGCAACCTTATCACACTGTCTGGAACCTAATAGGTGTCCTAAGGTGTAGTCACTTATTTTTATATTTATATGATTGGAAATATAGATTCCCTGTTAGAATTATTGGGAACCTCTAATGTGGAAAAAGTCACAGTACCGTGTAAGGGTATCATCTACCTACCACCACAACAATGCTGCATAGCAATACATTCCCTCCACTCAGCAGCAAGCTCTTCCCCCTACTTAGGGCCTGCAGGTTGGCTGTCACCCAAGCCACTCTGGCTGGGGATGTAGATCAAGTGATGTTGATTAAGCTATGGGGTTGGTTTTGTGTCCGGTCTACACTTGCTTCCTGGGCCCAGGGCGAATAGGCGACCAGGTTGTCGTCTCCCTGAGAATCACAGAGAACAGGACAATGGTTGTAGGAAGCTTGAAACCAAGATTAACGTCTCTTTGACCAGAATCACATAGTTAAGTTTAGTGACTCCAGCTCTATGAAGTCAATAATTCAACCTAGCACAGCTGTTGTATACAGACCAATACAACAGAAAGTCATAAACTACCATGAGAGTACGGGTGAGAGAGAAGACCAGTGGAGCAGAGGCTGGAGATGTGACTTCACCTCGTGCCTGGACCCACTGCTCCTTCCTGAGTGCTCAGATGCATGGGCCTTGGATCCTGGGGTGCAAAGAGAGAGCCACACACTGCAGTCTCCATGTGTAGGACCCAGGAGCCCGGTCTCTGTACTGTCTACAGCACTGATCACTGTGAGCCCCTTCTGCCGCACCAACCTGTCCCAATGGCTTCTGCTACCATCTCCCAAGAGTTAGGCCAAACCCTGCAAGCAAGGACACAACCTCTACAAAACTGCTGTCACTTTAGATATTATCCATGAGTTCTGGAGTTCCACTATGACCTGAAAATCTCACTAACTGGCTATAAATTTAGAGGTTTCTACTAACCCACAGGTTCAATGATTCGCTAGAATTCACAGAACTCAAAGGAGTGCTATCCTTATGATGATAGTTATATTTAGACCAAGAGGCTATAGATCAGAGCTGGTTAAAGGTAGAAACACTTGAAGTAAAGTCTGGAGGGGGTCCCAATGTGCCTCTGCAGTCCTTTGCCTATGGAGTCAGGATGTCCTGCCTTGGTACACACGTATGTGACAGTGTGCAGATTATTACCACTAGGGATGCGAAACTGAACTTGAGAGGCTGAAGTTTCTATTGAGATTAAATTAAGCCAACATGACTGATTGAACTGTCGGCCACAGGTCAAACATAAACACCACCTTCTCGTTCTCTTGGAGGTCAGGCTGAGGTGTGGTTCACAATCTCAACCCTCCAATCATGCAGTTGGTCTTTGGGGTATGGCCAGTAATGTTATTAATGCAAATTCTTTTCAGATCTGCCACCAGCCATCTTGGCATAAACTTTCAGGGCTCCCCGCCCCCCTGGTATGAATATGAAAGATACTCTTGTCACTCAGGAAATGTCAGGGCTTTAGGAGAAAGCCCTGTGATGACAGGAACTGAGGACAATGTTCAATCCTGCAGTCTATATCTGTGTCTGTCATTGCACCGCAAATCATTGCAGAAAGAGGCAATGGTCCTTCTACTTCTGAGACTCCTCATCTCCTAGCCCAGCACTTTGCTGAAAAACCTTCATTAGACCGACAGTAGTGACATCATAGTTGCAGAGCTTCAGAAGAAATGAGTTGGAAGGGCTTTTGGTTGGCATGTAAACACACCAAGACATTCATTTTGTACCAGACAGTTTACGAGATTATCCCAGAGTACACATTGAACAAAAGCAAGAACTACTTTAGAGTATTATTATTCCAAACCACACACTGGCTCCCTAGCACCCTGACCCTATATGAACTAACTCAAACGTATACATTCACATGAACTCAAACGTGAGCATTCACATTCTGCTTTCCTCTGCATAGCAGAGATAAGCTGTGAAACAAGAAAGGGTAGCAGGCAGGTGTACATGGGCTGAGACAAGACTCTGTGATGTCCAGTGTTCAATGTAAAATTTAATTTTCTAATTCTGACCACCTTGTGCTTTTTTCTTGCTCTGTCCTAGAAGTTAAGTACATTTCCTGTCATCATCTTGTTAGATATGTAGCTTCCAAAAAGGAATATTCATCTTTTTAAAGTTGTTATTTAATTGATCATTTTAAGTTAAAAAAATTCTTTTTTTTTTTTTTTTTTTTTTTTTTGGTGGAACCGGGGATTGAACTCAGGCCCTTGCACTTGCCAGGGAAGCGCTTATTCCACTGAGCCATCTCCCTGGCCCAAAAAATTCTTAAAGATATAATGTATTTTCACACACCATAATAGAGAAGTCAGGTATTTTAGGGTTTTTTTTCCCTAGCAACAGAATGTATCCTGGTAGTCCTCCCTCTGCATATGTATCCAGGAAGAAACCCAATACACCTCTAACATCTATCACAATTTCTTCCAGACTAAGAGGATCACAGAATGTTGGCTGAACCACCAATTAACCACTAATCGGATATGCCTCTTTCTATGAATTACCCCGCTTATGAAGACAGGTCTAGCTAGATGCCTGCCTATTCTTCTCATTCTACTTGTCCACATTCCCATTCACGTTGGGGATAAAGTGGGCACCTTTTATCCCATTTGACAGATCATCTTCCTGTTTTACACACCATCTTGGGTCAGTCTGTTTAGAGAAAAAGTATTTTTGCACCAAGTAATATGATCGCTGTATTAGTTACAGGAATTTGTAGGTGGTTAATTTTCATTACTTATTATTTTTATTCCCTGACTCATAGTGATCTTCTTGTCTCAGCCTCTCTCCTGTGGTGGGATTACAGGCATCTACCACCATGCCTGGCTTTGGTGACTGGCACAGCACGCAATACCAGGGATTGAATCCAGGTCCTTGAACTTGCCAGGCAGGCACTTAGACGACCAAGCTATCTCCCCAGCCCAACTTTTCATTTTTGAAACAGAAGCTATAGCACGAAAGAGACAAACATGTTAAAATCGGATATGCCACTAAGTAATGCGCTTATGTAGGCATCAGTGTTCAGCCAACGTTTGCTCCACCTGGACCCTAAGGCAAGACTCAGGTACAGTAATAGGTATCACAATCTTTTCTTTTCAGTCATGGAATGTGAGCTGTCAAATACATTTGTCTTTCAGTGAGTTCGACGGATGCCTACCCGAAGCTGGCTCCCTACCGACCCGCTGGACAGCTCCTTTCACCCCCTTTGCTGCTCTCGGTGTTCCTCAATACCTGTTTCACCTGCATCGTGCAGGTGTGTGCCTTTCTCTATGTGAAACAGCAGCCTTGGTACTGTGAGGTCTACCGCTACAGGTGCGTTCATTCTCTCAGTTTTTGAAATGGATATGATAATTCTCCATGGAGGCCACCTAACTCTGTTTGAACATGTTCCAAAATGTTTATTCACAAAATTTGGGTCTCCACACTGCAAAACAGAGTGCATTGCATATGGAGGCTATAAGCCACGTGCAGTAGGTAGGAAGAGATCCGTCATGCTGGGTAGATCTAGTAGCTGGGTAACTGTGTGAATGCTGGAGTTTCCTGCCAGTTTGGATTCCCCATAGACCATGGGTTTGTGGTCATTTCTGGCAGAGAGCAGGGCAGTGGCTATCTGCAGTCTTCCAAGTCACATAGGCTCTGACGAAACTCATCCACCAAGCTGCTGCAGAGTGAAGGCAGCCGTGGACAATCTACAAACAAGTAGATGTCTTTATGTCTCACTTCAACTTTACCTGCAGATCACTAATTTCAGGACATGTATTTTCACCTCCCAGGACTTTTGTTTCCTCAATGACAAATCAAAGATAAGATGAAAATAAACTATGTTATAGATTCTCAAATTTTAACTTTTTTCTGAGGAAGCCTCTCTGACTCCACAAAAAGGCAAGAAAAGAGCTCTTGTTGTTGCAATAAAGAAGCACAAGAACACCTCACTCCACTGCCGTCCAAGCTGAAGACAAGGGATTGATTTCTTTCACTATTATTATTTTTTTGTTATTATTATTGTATTAGGGAAGGGTCTACATGGTGTTCAGGGTCTCACTACTAGATCAGACACATAGTGATCCGCCTGTTCACAGCCTCTCAAGAGCTGGGATTACAGCTGCCCACCACCATACCCATTCTCAATTGCTGTCTCAGTGTGCCCCAGAGGCAGGGCTGGCACAGCAGGCCCAGGGATTGAAACCCCATCCTCTGTGCATGCTTGCAGCTGCTTTAATCAGCTGAGCTAATGGCCAGCCCTCAAGGGTATTTATTTATTTATTTATTTTCCATATGTTAACAAGGGATTGATTTCTAAGCTTATCATTTAGATCCCAGACCTAGCAGTTCAAGTATTCCTTGGAATGTAGGCTTCCATTCAGTTTCAACCCAGATTTCCCCCCACATTGGAGTAGCTGTGCTCAAAGAAGTCCTATTCTGATTGAGAAAAAAAAAAGTAGGAAACAGGCTCAGGAAGCCAAAGGAGATGAGCAGGAAACCAGGATAGCCCTGCTTCTGTCCCCAAGTGACTGCACGATACTTGTCCTCAACCTATCTGAAACGTCAGTGGGTAGAACTAGGAGTTTTTTGTTGCTAACTCCATCACTCAGGGCATCTGGTTTGGGCCCGTCTTTCTGCAAGAATGTGACTACTGGTTGCTGGTCTCATTAATTCACTTAGCACACATTAACTCAATGTCTACAGTAGGAAAGCATATCTGGAACCTCGGGAGCCCGGGATAGTAAGAATGAAATCTTGCATTTGAATTCCCAATTGGAAAATGAATCCAATTTATAAACCATTTTAATAGTAATTGCAAAGTTTCAAGCAACAAAGCCAAGGCAAACTAAATTTGTATTGTAGGTATCATCACCGAAAGAAGAAGAAGAAGAAGATTGCAAATATCAATCAGGAATGGGAAAGCCCAGATCTTAAATAAGTATTTGTCTGAGTAACTGTTATGTTATCCCATTTTATAAGGTGCCCAATGTAGATTTAAGTAAAACAAAAGCAAAAATAAAAATTAAAAGAAAAATGCTGTAGTCAACTCAGTTCACATCTGGAAGATAAGTCAACAGCACAATTACAAAACAATGAGCTGCAGAGAGCAGGATGGGGCCCATTAGATTCAGTTGCCAAGAAAAGAAATTTTGAGCCATAGCAGTACACTGAGCTCCACAGAGACAGCACCGGGGCAAGTGAAAGCCAGACGGGCACTGGGCCACTCTGTACTTTGCTGAGGAAAACAGGTAAACATGGGCAAAGGAGACCGTAAGGAGCCGAGAGGCAAGACATCATCATATGCATTCTTTGTGCAAACTTGCTGAGAGGAGCACAAGAAGAAGCACACAGATGCTTCCGTTAACTTCTCAGAGTTTTCTAAGAAGTACTCAGAGAGGAGGAAGATCGTGCCTGCTAAAGAAAAAGGAAAATTTGAAGACATGGCCAAAGTGGACAAGGCTCTTTATGAAAGAGAAATGAAAACTTTACTACTACAGGAGAAACAAAAAAGAAGCTCAAAGATCCCAGTGTGCCCAAGAGACCTCCTTCGGCCTTCTTCTTGTTCTGTTCTGAGTACTGCCCAGAAATCAAAGGAGAACATCCTGGCCTCTCCATTGGTGATGTCGCAAAGAAACTTGGAGAAGTGTGGAATAATACTGCAGCAGATGACAAGCAGCCATATGAGGAGAAGGCTGCTAAGCTGAAGGAAAGGTATGAAAAGGACATCGCTGCCTCCTGGGCTAAAGAAAAACCTGCTGTAGCAAAAAAGGAGTCATCAAGACTGAAAAAAGCAAGACAAAGAAGGAAGAGGAGGAGGAGGAGGGAGAGAAGTAAGAAGAAGATGAAGAGGATGAGGAGGATGAAGAAGAGGATGATGATGATTAAGTTGTTTCTTGCGCAGTTTTTTTTCTTGTCTATAAAGCATTTAGCCCCCCATACACAACTCACTCCTTTTAAAGAAAAAAAAAACATTGAAATGTAAGGCTGTGTAAGATTAGTTTTTAAACTGTAGAGTGTCTATTTTTGTATAGTTAACATGCTACCGTATGTGTCTTGAGATAGGCCTGTCCTGGTGGTATTTTCAATAGCTACTAACCTTGCCTGGTACAGTATGGGGGTTGTAAATTGGCATAGAAATTTAAAGCAGGTTCTTGTTGGTATACAGAACAAACTAGTTATACATGGGGATGGTAGTTTTTCATCTTCAGTTGTTTCTGATGCAGCTTATATGAAATAATTGTTTTTCTATTAACTGAATACCACCTTGCAATTACAAAAAAAAATGCTGCAACTGTTTTGTTGACATTTAGAATGCTTCTAAGTGAATAAAATTTTTATTAGTAAAAAAAAGAGCTTGTTGCATAGGTTCTGCTTTACCTTGGTCTTAACCATCCAGTAGAAAAGTATGAAGATGAAATATAGGAAGTAAAGCCATGTTGTTATGTTGAGCTGTGGGGGACTCACGTCAATAATTTCTGACATTGCCAGTTAAACAGAAGACCCAATGCTATTATGGGCTTCTGTACTCTTTTAGAATATTTTGCCGAGTTTACACACCTATAATATTCAACAACGGAACTTAAAAAAAAATTGGGGTATAACTATGAATGTCCATTTTGTATCTGTGTATTCAAAGTGGTTGGGATAGATATATAGTTGCATTCTCTTAATGAATAGAATGATTTTTTCTAATGGTGTTTGTAAGTAGGATCACAAGTCTGCATCTTGTACAGCAATTAACCACTAAGAAGAATATATGCAGTGTATTATTTGTTGAAACTGTACTTTCGATTTGATTTGAAACTGTCTCATTGCTATATGTTTATCAATAAAACTTTGAAAAGAAAAAAAAGACATAATAAAAATAAAAAAGAGCAATTTTAATCTAGTGTGATTTGAAGGATAAATATTAATTCATTTAATGAGTATTACGTGTCCAACTCAACAAATCTGCCAACTGTGGTATCTGAGGAAGAGGGAGCAATGCCTGATGGTAGGAGTGAAGCGAGCAAGGAGCGGGCAGGAAAGATCAGGGAGGAAGGCTCAGGCGGGGGCGGCTGCTCTGCTGGGTCAGCCACTTGCTAGCACTGTACAGCTCGGAGGACGCTTAGGAGGATTTGCTTAAATCAGGAGAAAAGATGAGAGTGCACATACTCAGACTCAATGCACAAGTGTGGAGGCTCAGCTCAGTAACTACACAACACACACACACACACGCACACATGCACGTGTGTGGGAAGACACACATTTAAAAAAAACATGCACATATGTTCAATTCACATGGTACATTTACTCTTTGAATTGAAAGGAGTTCTAGAGAAAATTCTCATCCAAGACCTTTCGCAATAGGATCACTTGCTCTAATGGCAGTGCCAAAGAACAGTCTTGGCTTCCTCTGAATTTCATTTGGGCATCATGACGCCAAAAAGTGAACAAAATATGTCTAGTCATCACCAACTGGAACAGGAGGGAAGCTGAAGTCCTGTGGTAGTGACTAAATTTGATTTTTTTTCATAATGGACAAACGTTGAATAAAACATCTTACAAATGCTGGTAATTCTTTTGCAGTGAGTGCTTTCTGACGAACCAAAGTAATTTCTCAACCAGCCTGAGTTTGGGAAGAAACTGGACTGGAAATGCAACTCTGGTTCCTGGCTCTGTTTTAAGTTTTGAGAGCACCACGCTGTGGCCTATCACTACCATGAACTGTATCACCATAGCCTTTATCTTTTCTAAGGGCAAGCCTTTTCGAAAACCTATCTATACAAACTGTAAGTATATGAAGTTTAATCTTTTCTTTTAAAATATTTTTTCTGTTCCTCCACCATCCCTGGACTTGCAACTCACCAGGGAGGAAAGAAACAAGTACATTACTCCAGTAAGATTCTCAAATGGAATTGGAAACCAGTGTTAGAACCCAGGGACAGAAACTTGCTTATTTCTAATAAGCACCAATTAAAACCAACAGTTACCTGAGTCTTGAACTACTGAGACATCAAATGTCATTTTAAACAAAAACATCTAAGTCAAGCTATTTTGTAAAATGTTTTTGATCAATTCAAATACAAATGAATCTCTTTGTAGATTCATAGAATTGAGAAAGTTACCTTAACCCTTCTAGGCCTGTTTCCTCCTATCCAGAGTAGAAGAGATGCATAACCTTCAATCCCATAAGAAAAACGAAAAAGCCATTGTACACGAAGGGCCTATATGTGGGAGAGCCTGCACTTTTAATGTAGGCTCAGGAATTCTTGTTTACCTCCCCAGTAGTTTCACGTTAGTGAAGTAAAGACAAAACCACGCAACAACAAAATACAAAGCAAAAGCAAAAACTCTTTGAAGCCTCCTCCGGTGATGGGCATGTAAAGAATATGGGAGGACTGAGAAAACACCAGAAAGGAAGGTTCAGACTGGAATGGAGCTCCTTGGGGGGCAGCCTGCTAAGTGGTAATGCCATGTGTTAGCATTGTACAGCTTCTAGGATGTTTAGCCAAACTTCCCCAAATAAGGAGAAAGGGGCAGAGGCAGGAAAGCCACAGAGTGTGTCCTGTGGCCAAAGACCGTGGTGATTTTGAGAGTAGAGGGACACACCACTAATGTGTTCTTTTTCTTTTTTTAATTTTGTTATTTCATTTTGAAAAGTAAAAGACAAAGGCAAGAACAAAAAAGCAGAAACAATGACAGAAACAGGGTAACATACAATAATACATATGCTACCGATTTTTACAACAAGAATAGCTGATTAACAATGCTGGATATATTATCTATTTTTATTGTCAACTCTGTTCCATCAGTGCTTATGCCAGGCTTAAACAAGGGATGTTGGGCAAACAGGCCTTGGTCACTCTGTGCACTACGCAGTTGGTGCCAGCACTGGGGGATTATAGGCAATGGTGTGAAAAATTACTCGAAAATAAATAAATCACTTTGATAAAATCTTTGATTTCCATAGAGTAGCTAAGGTCACTTATTGGCTGAAAGCAAATAAATATGTTATAGCTTTTGATTCACAGTTGAAATTTCTTTCAGAAACTTCATACCAACTGTCATTCCTATCTGTTGTTTCTGAGAAGGTTGGCTTTCTAACCATATATCACATATGAGATAAAAATACTATCCAAATGCTAGGAGCAGGGGCAGATGCCACTGTTCTGAGCTACTTGAGAGGATCAAAAATTAAAAACCTCACCAGGAAGCTTAGCAAGACTCTGCCTCAAAAATAAAATGAATAAACAAAAAACTTTTTTTTTTAAATAAAAATAAAAGGTCTGGGGCAATAACCATGTAGCAGAATGTACCTGGTTTTGATCCCCACTACTGCAATCAGTCAATCAACCAATTAAATAAAAATTTTGCCAATCTGATGAGACTTTTAAAAATGATATCTCAATCAGTTTCTATTTGTATTTTTTTGATTTCCATCTTCTGTGAAGATAAATTTCATATTGTTATATTATTATTCGTGTTATTTGTCCTTTTGTGAATTGTCGGTGTACATTTTTAAATCTATTTTTTACTTGATCACTTGTTTTCCTTTTTTGATATGAGCTGCTTATTATTCCTTTATGGTTTCATTTCCTTTGCCTTTATGCACAAAAAGTTTTTCCTAATTATAAAATAGAATCAATTATTGTTTAATTAGTTTTAAGTTTTTATTTTAATGCTTTTAAAAATAATTCATTGTGTAGTTTAGGGCAGGGGTCAAACTTGTTTATCCACCTGGTTTTCCAGGAGATATATTCCGGCTGTTGGGTATTTAATGTCTCTTTCATTCATTTATTCCCCAACTGAGCATCATCACATTGACATAGGGGAGGGCTTGCGGGTTAGCTCAGCTGTTTAAAGCACCTGCTTGGGCAAACTCAGTCAGGCGCAGGGGACTGCGGTTCAATCCCCAGCTCCACCTCCACATGCCACACTAGACCAGCCCTTAAGGCAGCCTGAGCCAGCCAAAAAAAAATAAAATAAAATAAAAAAAAAATAAAAAAAAAAGAACACTCCACATTGACATAGGAGAAATGTAGCTCCCGTCCTCCTAGGTGACAGATGCACCCAGTTCGTGTCCTCTGAAAATGAAGAATGAATTCCAGGGAACAACGGAGGTTAATGGTAGGAAAGATATATTGACAGATAGCTCCTGAGAGACAGGAGAGGTCCAGAAAGCAGGTCTCCAGGGAGACCACTTCTCCAAGAATGTTTGACGGAGCAAAATCATGAGGTGGCTGCAACTTAGGTCAAACTATATCAACCAATACTACTACAAGTCTAGCCAGTTGGCTGATGTTGATCCAGTAGGGAAGTGGGTCAGGTAGCAAGGACACAAGGAAAAAACCAAACATTGTGGGGAACTGCTGTTCTTACTAGCTCACAAGTACACATTTGAGTTTCTTTTTGACTCAACAGATTTTAAATTTTCTTTACTTGTATATTGGGAGAGATTGCTCATTTAAATTTAGCCACTATTATCTGGCCTCTGAAATTTCTGCTTTGTTTTTTTTTTTTTTTTTTTAACTCAAGGCATCAATTCTCTTTTTGTTTGTTTGAGACAAGATCTCACTATACAACCCAGGCTGTCCTTGAACCGACAGTGATCCTCCTGCCTCTGTCTTCCAAGTGTTGGGATTACAGGTGTGCAACAGTGTGCCAGGTGCACGGCAACTGTTCTGAACCCTAAATTTTGTAATGAAGTCATAGACTAGTCAGGCATAGTGGTACACACCTGCAATCCCAGCACTTGGGAGGCTGAGGCAGGAGGATCACCACACATTTGAAGTGTGGGCCACATAGTGAGTTCAAGACCACCCTAAACTACATAGTGTGACCCTGTCTCAAAAACAAATAAAAAACACAAACAAAAAAATCCTAGACTTAGAAAAGTAGAGTCCTATTTCTAAGTTAAAGATGTACATGTTTTTCATTAAGTCAGTTTCAGCAATTATATTATTCAAATTCTCTTTGTTCTTGCTTAATTATTTTGGTGGTGGTGTTTTTTTTTTTTTTTTGAAAGACTTGAAGGTGAGTTAAGTTTTGCTCTAGTTTTCTTAGGGGAGACTTAGTTGTCTTAGTTTTTCCTTTCCTGAATTTCTCACCATTTTCCTAAATGATGATATGTTTGAAATTACCCTTGCTTATAGATGAAACCAATTGAGATTTTGATTTAGTTATTTGATTTTATTTAAAATTTTTTAATTTTTAAAAAGTTATATTTTCAAGTGAAAAATCTTAGTCCTTATTATTTATTTATTTATTTATTTTGCGGTACCGGGGATTGAACTCAGGATCCCTATGCTTGCCAGGCAAACACTTATTCTCCTGAGTTATCTCCCTGGCCCCTTAGTCCCTATCTTAAATTGAAGATGTGCCTTTCAAAGAGAGCATCGTCACTAGCCAGCACTTCAATGGGTGCTGGGAAGCACTCTCATATACACCGAGAGGATTAGAGTAGTGAAATCATAGGGACTCAGAGGCAGAAAGAAAACTAAATGCTTGCACTAAACATATCTTACAGTCATAAGTGAGGAAAGGTTTCCACACAGATGTTCCCAAGCGTTACCAAACAATTCATATGCTCACAGAATCAGAAGCCAAAACCTTTTAGAACTTCTAAGGTACAGTACACAAGCCATTTTGTTTTGAAATAGCAGAAGGAAATCTTCATCCTTCTTATTAGTCTTCGAGAGAAGCTCGACTTTTTGGTGAGAAGATATAGAAAAGACACAGATTTAGCTTTACTTTTACTGAAGTGAGTGTAAATGATCACTACCCTTTCCGTGTTTGGCAAAGGGCCCTAAGGGCTCGCTCAAGTCTTCCCAAGGCCACGGCATCAAGAGAGTGCATTCTTCCTGGACTCCCTGTGGGCAGGGTCTGCCCAGGGAGGGGCCACGTCCAGTTCAATTCTCCACTGCACTTTCAACCATACTGACATAAAGAAGGAAGCCAGCTTCACAGGCCCCTGGCCTCGGGACAGCGGTGCACAGAGCTCTCAGCCCCGGCGCACTCAGCCCAGCCCATTGAGGGCCAGAGCTTTAGTGGATGCACTTTTGAGGCATCCTCTTCTCCCCAGCTTCTGGGCCCTTGGGACCCTCAAATAATGATGTAAATGAAAAAGCCACATAGCCATCCAGTGGGATTTTCTTTGTGCCCTGCTGCTCAGAGTGCTTTGTTTTAGGAGCTGAAGTTCCCGTGTCTCTCCTTCCCACCTACGTCTGATCCGGGCACACCTGGCCATGGGTTCACTCCTCTGATGGGCGCTGCACCAAGCTCTGTTCAGAATAAGGCCTGGATGCCCTCCGAGGACAGGCCAGGTGCCCAAGGCAGAAACAAACCTCTCAGGGCTTCAGACACGAGGGCCTGCTGCAGAGGCCTTTGATTTCTGGCTGGTACAGATGTAAAGTTGGGTAGAGAAAGCACTGGTAGAGTACTGACCCTGGAATAAAAGTTGAAAAAGTATCAGAGAAAACCTGGCGGTCAACTGTTTTACTTTCTAACTTATGAGGATTGTAAGAATCATCCACATCACTGTCACGATGATTGAATTCCAGTGTTTTGGCCTGAAGGTGAAAGTCTTATCAAAAATATTTCTAATGCACCATTTACAAAATGCTGTGCTAAAAGCTCCGACAGAAGAGTGGGAGGACTTGGAAGGATAAGAGAGTGACTGGGGCACAGTGGTGGGGCCAGTATGAAAGGAAGGAGCCCTGCAAAAGCAGAGTCTCATTTATTATTTCAAGTCAGAGTCCCTGAGACCCAAACACAAAGCCATTTTCAAGTGGGAACAGCTTAGACGATAGACAAAAAAAATCAAAACAACTCAAAATGACTGTGTTGCATACCATATAAATTAAGCTTTGCAAAGATGGACGAGAGAGTCCTTGAAAAGAAAGTGACTGTTCGGACCAGGTCATTCAGTAGGGGAAAAAAATGGAAAGGAAAACTGTTTCCTCAGGGTGCCCAGAGAGCGCAGGTACAGAAGCTGGGGCACGGGGTCTGCAGGAATGATGATGTGGGGGTTGAATGCTTCTGTTGCACAAAGCAAGAACAGCGAGAGAAGAGTTTAGGAAGAACCAGAGGATGGAGTGCTGGTTGGTCCATCATGGATGCTTGGACTTCATTCTCCTGACAACAATGAGCAAGACACAGGGAACTGACCATCCCATGCAGGCACAAGATGCTAGATAGGTGGTGATAAGGCATTGAGACCTTTCTGGTCTTCACAGGAGGTCCCAGCTCCTGGAGTCCTCAGGGGGAGAACTGCCTTATGGAATTACTACCAGACGTTTCTTGAACAGACTTCTATAGTCAGCCTTGTAAGGAAAGATTTTAAGATGTCACCTTCATTTTATAAGCATTAGAACATATTTTAAAACATATGAAGATACATTAAAACATTTGAAGTTATAGCCAATATTTGCCCAACAAAGATAATTGATTCTGCAGTGTGTGCCAAATTATATGAAACAGTCTCTTAGCTTCTAAAAATAATATTTGATGTTTCTTCAGATACATTTTCATTTCTGTTGGTATCTGCCTTGGGCCTTACGATTTTCATTCTGTTTTCTGACTTTCAAGATATATACCAAGGGATGGAGGTAAGTGTTATTTATTTGTACCTCTGCTATGCTTTGATGTGCTGTAGATCAGATTTCCATTATAATTTGCAAGTTGATTGATACCACTATATCTCTGATCACTAAATATTTTTGCTCAATTATCGCTAAATCTATATTTGTCAACTAAATGTTTGTAAAGATTTATTTTTTTAGCCCTTTTTATCAGCATGTGTTTGTGATACATAATAATCTCATTCACCTTGGGAAACCGGTACACATACTGTACATGTCACACCTTGATCCTACTTACTTCCATTCCTTCCCTTCCTCTTTCCCAATTTCCCCAGACCTATTTCCTGCCTCCACAATCTACCTTCCTGCTTCCTACCACCTCACTTTCATTCTGTTCTTTAACCTATTTTGTATTTTGGGCCTCTCGTATGAGAGTATTATAGGATTAATTACCATGTGGCAATTAACCGTCTGTGTCTGATTTATTTCACTTAGCATTATATCTGACCTCTAAATATACTTCTATTACCTAGAAAGGCAAATGACATTTATGAGTCTTACACATGTCTTTATGGTATTACTATTATTATTTAGGTGCATTTATCCTTTAATACCTTAAATACTCTGCTTAGATACTTCAGGTTGACATGTTATACTAATACCGTAAAGTTAATGCATGAATACAATAGTTATCCAAGGTTAATATTTTAAACAATAGAGGAGAAGTCCTTTAACAATGTAGCTGTCGAGGAAAGAGAAAGTAGACTCATAGGCCAATCATGTTTTGTAAGACTTTGAGTACGTGGAATTTTAAGTCAGTGAACATCATTTAATCCAGGGTATATAGGATTAAAATTAAATTCATGGAGAAGCTATGGGTCCCATTCTTGTACCCAGTATTGCAAGAGATATAAAAGGAAGGGAAGGCTCTGCTCCTGGGCTTCAAGCTGTACTTCTGCTGTGAAGATGAGTTGTAGGGCAGAGAGACCATGCCATGGCCACTTGAAGCTATCTGTTCTTGATGACGGTGTAAAGCTAGCACTAGGAAGAACCTGGGCAGATGCTGTCATTAGGGACTGTGGCTGCATAGGGGCTTCGGGGAGGGGACATGCCTTGTGCAGGGTCCAAAAGCTTGGGCAGGATTTTGCAGGGTAGGAGGTGGAGCTGCTGCAGGCCGAGTGCAACCTTGGCAGGTCAAGAGCAGAGATGGGACAAGAGAACGTCTTTGTCTTCCCAATGTAAAGAGTGTACGTGGGAGGATTAAAACCCAGAGGCAGGGCTGCCTCCCAGAGGGCCTAGAAGATTCCGTGAAACTGAGGTAGTGGGATGGAGACTGTGGGCACCAGGGACGAAGAGCAGAGGAAGGCACAGGCAGACCAAGGCAGCCAGAAGTTTGCACTTTGTGCTGCGGACCACAGGAGATGCTTGCGGGCTCTTTAGAAAGGTGTTTCAGATGGATCAATTAGGGGATGACAGGAAGGCTCTGTGTGAGGGCAGAGAGCCCCCGGAGCTATAGGCAGCTTGGAAATGAAAACTCAAATCTTCATTCATTTGCCAGACATCACGAGTACAGTGTGGCCATTGCTCTCAGGAGGTTCGGGAGCGAGGGGTGAGACAAGTGTGAAGGTAGAGGATGCCAGGAAGCCAAAGGCTGCGTCCAGCCTGGGGGCAGCAGTGGCATCTTAGAATACTGGGTTTTCCACTGTGATCTGCTCTACCTTCTCCCGACAACCTTCCATCTAGGGTGCTGTATTTTACAACACTAAAAAAGGTTCTTTCCACTTGGGGAAAAATAATCTAATATGAATTCAAAACAAGCCAGAGTAGGGTAGCAGTAATAGGATAGGCTGGAGTGGAGCACTGGGACGCTGCCGAGGGGTCCGTGGTTGCAGACATCGAGGGAGCTGCGTCCCACGGCAGTCACTCACACAGATTACTGTGTGGGGCAGGAAATGCGGCCAGGTAACTGCCCTTCCAGTATGAGTGCAGCGTGGACAGCTGTGGCTCCTACCTCTTGGGAATAAGGGCATTTGGTGACCAATGTATACGGGCTCTTTCTTCTTTAAAGAGGGAGTTAGACTTTTCTAAAGCCATTAGTCTTGGGACCAGGAACATCTGATCAAAACATATATAATTACTGTTTGGGAAAACAAGCATGTATTTCTTTCCCCTTTGGATTTCACCCGTATCTCAATTTTTCTGAAAAGTATAATGAATTCCGAGTTGACTGTTTTGGGAGAAGCAGAGGCAATAAAATCAGTGGGTGAATGGGTTGATCTTAAACCCCTCCTATGCCTAAAGGACAAAACGAATGGAAAAACCTAAGCTGCCAGGTGCCCTCGGCCTCATGTTCCCTCTAGGACACTCTCTCCACAAACACTGCTGGGTCGTGGAGGGAGCACAGGCCAGCAGGATCCATTCTCATTCGGGCACGTGGCTCTGCCACGTATTTATTGGTTTTGACTCAGGACCTGGGCAAGGCCCTGACCTTTAGCTCTCTCATCTGTTAAGTGGAAAAAGTAAGGCCCATGCCCTGACTGAGAGACTTATTGCAAATATATAAATTAAATAAAATAATCATGATGTGCCTGTTCCCCAGTGGCAGTTTCGCAAAGTGTAACGGTGGCATTTCTTCCTCAACAGTTCATCCCAACCATTATATCATGGAGAGCTTCAATTCTGGTGGCATCCCTCATCCAGTTCTGCGTGGCCTTCTTTGTAGAGGTAAGTGATTTCTGGATAGATCTTATTGTTTTTCTGGGGAGATCAACCAAAAAAATTCTCATTCTCAACATATGTTCACTTTTTAGAGCAACTGTTTTGGTTCCTCTCAAATGTTACTTATTAAATATTTTTTAAAACTGCGTGTTCTTTTGAGGGGAAATTACCTGGAGATGGATAAAAATTTTGAAGCCTGTTTTAAAATGTTCATGTTATCTTCTGCACAGAAAGCAAAAGCTCAGCTTCGCTCTAGTTTTGACTTCCATGAAGACATTATATTGTACTTCTCTAAAGTTTTAAGTAGTCTAGGAGAGGTGACACCAGGTGACTTTGCAACTAAGAGATTACTTTTCAGAGTGACAGGCAGTTCTCAGAAGCCTCCCCAATTAGGAGAAAAGCGGCCGCTGCTCATGCCCCAATTCCTACCTTGCATCTGCAGTGTGTCACTGCAATTCTACTCAGAGCCAATGAATGGTTTCACCCAGTCACTGAAAGGTTCGGGTGCTCCATTTTAAAGGAAAGGAGTTTAAAAAAATCAAAGACTCATGTAAGTCCATAGGGAAAAGGTGCCGATACAACTTCAACATAAATCTAAAATATCTCATATGCAATACACACAAATTGTATTATATTCTTTAATTCAGGAATTCCATTTTGAGACTGTATTTACAGAAAATAACCCAAAGGATACAAGGAAAAAATACCCATAGAGAAGGAGGATATTCATCATAATATTATAAATAGTGGCAAAGGAAAATACTCAGCATAATCACTGTGTTGAAATAACACATTAGGGCCAGGAAGATACCTCAGCTCCGTAAGTGACTGCCTGGCAAGTGAAAGGTCCTGAGTTTGATCCCTGGTATCAAAAAAATTATAATAATAAGCAAAAGAGAAAAAGAAATTGAAACATACAGTAATGTAAAAAATGCTCTTTAGTCTTTAATATGATTATCACAAAGACTGTAACTGTGTTCTTACTACAACAAAACTTTGAAAAATATCATAGGTATGTAAAAATGGTGTACTGCAGAAAGTCTAATAGAAACAAAAGTGAAACACAAAATTGGACAGATTCTATTATTATAAATGTGTGAGAATTACATAAACATGTGAGCACAAAGAGAGACTCAAAAATGGGAAAAAAAGAAACATTTGTTTGCTAGCATCCCTCCATTTATTCGAGAAACATCTATTTGACATCCTGTATGTGGCAGGTGGTGAGTAGCAGATCTGTATTTTTTTTCCTTTTCTTTCCATTGAGTGCATCATTGCTAACATTTCAGTCTGCCGGGTAAAACATCCTAAGTAAATCACTTGCCAGGATTCAGCTAGGAATTCTGTAGAGATGGAAGCTGGAAGCATTGGGCAGATTTTTGCTATCAGACACAATCTCTGGCTTCTTAAGGGAAGATTTAAGAGACACCAGGGAGGAGCATGGCAGCAACAGCATCTGTAGCAATGAGCACATCGCAGAGGGATCCTGGGGACACCGGCTCCTCTAAGCTCCCTGGCTGCAGGGGGACCTACAGGAGGGTCTGATGGCTTTCCATCTGATTTTCCAGGATGCCATCCTTCAAAACCGAGAACTGTGGCTCTTGATCAAGAAAGCATTTGGATTGTACTCTACAAGTTCCTACAGGAAATGGCAAAGGAAGCTGGCAGAAGATGCTTCCTGGCCTCCCACAAACAGGACGGTGTATTCAGGTGAAAGCAACAATGGAGTCTACATCAACAGAGGCTATGAAAGCCCTGAACAGATCCCAAAAGAAGGACTCAGTTCGGGAGACCAGACCACAGAACAGAATTTTGGGGCAAGGCTATAGTCAGAACTGGTGTTGCACAGGTGGAGCAGCAGTATCTTCTTGCCTCCAAATGAGAGCACTGCGGAGAGGTGAGACCAGCGTATCCTTACCTCTTCTTTTTCCTTCTGAGCATCCAAAAACACGTCTCAGCCTAGTGAACCTTACAGCAGAGGACTTTGAATTTATCTGTTTGATTCTATCTTTTACTGTCAAAAGAAAATTTGCATCTCTTGGATCACCATTTTTAATAAACTTCATATTATATTGTATAGAATGCATAACTGTCATGGTGATGAAATCAGAGGTGTGAACATTGGTGGAAAAAAAGGAAAATCAAGGAAATAGTCTTTGAACGTTTACCAATATAGCAAAAGCCACCTGTTTCCTTAACTTTTACACACATTTGTGAAGAACATTTATGCTCGTATCTTTTATAAGGCCATTAAGCTCCTCCCTTTTCCAGCTGTGATTGGGTTCTAGCATAGAAACAAGAACTAATGTTTGCTTCAGAAAGTTGAATATTACCTCTATTATGAGCCAGAGTTGTGTAGAAGGGGAGAAGGAGAGAGGTTTGTGTAAGTTGCAGAGGAGCCTGGCATGGGCACAGCTAAATGATTTATGAACCACACCAAAGGGTGGCATCCCCCGAGCACACTGTTTTGGGTCCAGTGGACAAGAAATCCAGAGTAATTCACAAAGACAATGAAATAAACTGTTGAAATGTGCTTTTCACATTCAAAGGTATGGCTTTTTAAACTTACCTCTTGTTATTGATATATGGAAATCGTCTAACTCTAAAAACAGGCTAAAACTAAATATTGTTCATCTTTTAAAAGCAAGCTAAGGGAAGGACCCATAATGTTTGTCTCTATGGCATGCCAATTCCATGCTACTAGAAAGCTTTGCACCCTATCTCATTTTGAAGTCTTCAAATCATCTTTTACACGTATTAAATGTTATGTGCTAAAGCACAGCCCTCTTGGGTTAGGAAAGACATCCTGGACTAAGATGCACTTCAGCCGACCTAAGCAATACCCCCTCTACCAGTTCCCATGTGGCAGGACATTCCAGCTCATAGGACACAATGAAAAAAGCTGCCAGTCCCCTACCCTATCATGCAAACTTCCAATGCACTGACATATTCCAAACTAAATCAGGAAAGTTCTTGCCTCCCCTACCACCCGGAACCCTGACTCTATAAATTAATCTATAGTTGTAGCACCACTTGGGGTCAGCATTCCGAACTCCATGTTGGATGCCATCTGCCAGCCAATAAATCTTGCAGATCTCTCCTTGGCGAGTCTTGGTGTTTGGTTTTTGGCCTCAAATAAAGACTACAGAAAGGGTCATCCTTGACAAATACATTCTATCTGCTGTTATCTCCTTCCTCACTGTGAACTTAAGAGGAAACATTTCCTGTGAACATTTAAAGTTACAAGATTTTCTTAGAATAATATATTTAATTTTTCTAATTTAACAGATTTTCAACAGATTGTGGAGGTTATACATTTGTGACACTCTGCTGCACATCTGTCACTATCTTCTGGAGTGGGAGCATCCAGAATTCTCTTACAGGTTGGGGCCCTCTGGTTCCTAATTCTGCCCAAGTCTCACATTGGCCAGTGTTATCACTGTTCTAGCCAGTTCGCTTGGTTAAGATTAAGATTTGCCCACTGTAGGGCCAATTTATTGAAAAGCAAACACACCAACTAATGTATTAATAGTAAACCATTTCTAATAAAAGTACACCTGGAGAAAGGTAAGACATTAAGCTGCAGTTGATTCTACCCCAAGTTAATGGTGCTAGCAAACTGCTATTTGTTGGCTATCACTTGGAAACTGTGTATAAAGGGACCAGTGAGGGTCTGAATTTAGAATAAAAACAAACAGGGAATTTTGAATCTTAGTACCTGGTAGGAGACACTCATTCTTTCCTAGAAGACCAGTGAAAGAAAAGTAAATCTGGGGATTATCCAGAGATGGTGTCCTAAGGAAAGGGAAAGTTGACTTAGAGAAAAGGAGGGGAGAGAGATAGGATCTCTGTTAGCTGGGACTGCAGTACACAACCCCTTCTGTTATATTATGTGTAACCCTGCAAGTAGCTTGTAGAGTATCGCAGGCCCTGGGTAAAATTGAAATCCGTGGAATAGGTCTGAGGCTTTCCCTGATTCTTCTGTTTATTGACCTTACTCTCGTTCTCCTACCACACTCTGCCACCAGGTTTACTGGAATGTGTCCTTTATTTCACGCCATGCATTTGTTAATGGAACAAGAAGGGTGTCACGGGCCAGCAGTGTGGTCCAGGGGCAACGTCACAGTGTCTCATATAATCTTGGTGTAAAAAGAACCGAGCCCTGCTTTTCCTTACCTGCTTCCAACAAGAACACCACTGAAATGGTGCTAAAAATCATTTATTTTAACACATAACCAGTAAAATGCAAGTATAAAAGTATGGCATTCCCTGCTGTAGCATAAGGCTGAAAAAGTGGGATGGGACATTATTATCTGAATATACACTGTCAACCAACATTTAATGATCTCTTGGCAAGGTTAAAAGGTCAAACTCAGAAATACTTCAAAATCTAAAGGGAAAAAACGGTACTCTGGAAATAATAGCCCATGTCATTCACAGGCTCTTAGCGACTCTGGACCAGGAGGTAGATCCAGGGAAATCATTGAATCCACAAAACTGGAGCACAAAGTCCCTCTCTCCTTCCCCTGCCATCCTGTATCTATGCAGGTACAGGAAGAAGGGGTATCCCTCACAGGGTCTGTAATTCAGAGATCTTCAAGCTATCTAATCAAATGCTTTACTTCAGTTTCTTTTTTGACAAGAAAAAGAATATGAATTTAGATGTCAACTCTTAACAATTCAGAGCTCTTAACATTCCTTTCAAAATCATATATAAATGGTTCTCCACTCCTCTGGCAAAGTAACCACCCTTACGGAGAAGGAAAACAATATTTATAGTAGAAGATAAAATGTGATGTGATTTTGTTAAGATTGTTCACTGGCTCATTGAAAGGACTACTGTTTTTTTTTTTTTTTTTTTTTTTTTTTTTTTTTTTTGTTCAAGCTGCCACATAAAAACTATGTAAGTAGGGGAAAAAATTTCCTTGGCTCAATAAGATAATATCAGTAAGCAATTTATTAAAGAGCACGCCATCCATCACTAGAATGTGGAACAATAATGATGTGTTGAAAATAAGAATTCATTTCAGGTTTTCTTTTTTTTTCCTCCTTGCAACTTGCTTCAGCTCCAATATCTTCGATAAATTGTTAATGGAATTTTGTTCTTTGTTTTTTTGGAAACAAGCCCAGGAATGAGAAGGTACTAACAACAGCTGTCACCAATCCAATAGTACTTACTGCTCGGTTGGCCTAGAAGGAAACAAGAAGCAAAAACCACATCTTATTCTTCAAATCTCTCATTGTCTTAAATGAAGTACAATTTGTTTCTTAAATTGAAGGCCTACTGGAATACATTCATTATTTAAAGTTCAATACCAAATCAAAGTTCTGTGTGAAGATGAAGAAGTTAAATGGCAAGTTTTATACTTAGATGAAAGATATACATAAACACGCATAGGCTTCTATTCCTCATATTTTCAAAGCACCTGGTAGCTATGCAATCCTTACTCATCCCAGGATATCAGGGAGAGAGGTTCCACAACTCCTGCCTTGCAAAACTTGGGGGTTAGAGGAATTTGCCAGTGAATACATCACCAAGATGCTTAGAGATAAGTTGAGTCTTCTGAAGCCCATGTTGTCCCTCTGGGTGTCCCCTGGTCTCTGAATGCGCCCTTTGGCTGGGTCTATACCAGGGCAATCACTGTGAGGGTGTGTACATGTGTGTGCATCTTACTCGAGAAGTCAGATAGCTCAGGGAGTTGATCTGACCTATTCGCCTAGAGGTTCTTATGTGGTAGACTCAATTTCTAATTCTGATAAACAGACTTTATAAAAAGTCAATACAGGTGCTAACTATCATGTCAAATTAATTTCTCATAGAGACAACATAAAATAAACCTCTCTCGAGCTCAATTGTCCATAAAGGAGTTCAGACATTTATAGCTTTAAGGGGATTAATCACCATGATGAGGGATCTCATGAATATTCATGGTTTTCACAGCACTCAATGAATATTACCTTCCACCGCATGGGTTTGAGTGCAGTTTTATGACCCAAAGGTCACGCGCAGACATTTCAGAAGCATCAGGTATTCTGAAAACAACATCACTTCTCTGGGATTTAAGGGTCAGGGCTTTCAAATACAGTGAAGCATTTTCCTCAAATGACTGGGGACAGGACCAACAGCTGGTGACCTGACCCACCTCGCATCTGAGCCCGCCCTGTGTCTGTGTCAGTCTTCCGCCCTCGGGCCTGCCATCCGCGTGTGCCCGCAGTGCAGCGCTGCCTCCCTAGCTGCTGCTTGCTTGGCCCAGGAAGCAGGAGAAGCCCGGGCCAGGAAACAGACACGCAGGAGGAGTGTTTGCCCTCCGTATCTGCGACATGCATACTGCCGTACACTATCATGCCGTCTACAGGGGAAACATCTCAACCGTGACTGCCCACCTCTGCTCTGAGCACTATTTGCGAGGGGGAGTGGTGCCCCCAGGTAGCCTGGTCTCAGCCCTGACAACTGCTCCTTCGGTTCATAATTTTAATTTTGTGTTGAATTAATTTATTCATTTAAATTAATCCACTACCTAAACCAGAATTTGGGGCCGCCTAGAGCTACCATGAAAGCATACTAGGCAGAAAAAAAGAGGTACATATATACAGGATGTAGGACAAAGTTCCAAAGAGGGGGCCAATTTGATGATTAGGGGGACCAGGATTCTAAACCAAGCCAAATCCTATAGCAATTCCAGGCAGATGCTGCGATCCACAAGTGGTCTGAACACGGAGATGAGGCAGGCAGTGAGAAGCCTGAAATTCAGGAGGTTTTTCTGAACAGAAGTGTCAGATACCAGCAAGGTAGAGCCCTGGGGGAATTTAAAGATGGTGTGGATAGGAGGGGCCCAGGTAGTTGCCAGGCTGACTAGGTATTTTTCAGCCTCTAGAAAAATAGGATGTTTGGGAAATGTCATAAATAGAAGACGCTTTGGAGGAGGCGATGGGCAACCTGATCCCAAGCTAAAATGACCTGAGATTGCAGAGCAGACACCATTCCACCAGATCATTGCATTTCCCCCAACCCTGGCGCTCTCTGATCTTAAGTCTCATTCAGATCACATAGCCCCATGTAACTGGGACAGTCCCTCCAAGTCCCCTGTAATAGAATCTGACCTGCAGGTTGTAATGTGCCAGTGTGTTCTCAGTGAGCTGATAGACACAGTAGCTTTTACTTGGTGACTTACTTAAGATTACAATGTCACCAAATCTGATTCTGCAGTCTTTAACTTTTGCAAGCCTTTCTGTCTACACAGCATAACAATGGCTTCACGCCCGGACTCTGTTCATGCCCGGTGAAATGCTAGCTGAACCTGGAGATGCTGTGTACAGACACCTGCGGGGTTGGTCAGAAGTCTCTTTCCTGAGGTTTGCAGGCTGCAGAGGTGCCCTGAAGTGCGGGCAGGGTGTGCTCATGCATTGACTTGCTCAGGTGCATTCAAAGTTGTTACCATCCTCTACAACCCTGGACACATTTTGATAACTTGTTTGCACCCTAACAGCAAGAAAATATTGCTTTTATGTATTTTGAACAGTACAGGCGAAATTAAGCCACAAATTGGGAGAAAACATTTGCAAAAGATAAATTTGATAAAGGACCTCTATCTGCAAGATGCAAAGAACTCTTAAAAACTCACCAGGAAAATGAAAAACGCAATAGAAAAAAGTAAAAAAAAAAAAAAAAAAAAAAAGAAAAGAAAAAAAATCTCCCTGAAGATGATATGCAGAGGACAAATAAGCATTGGAAAAGCTGCCCACTACCACACGTAGCTAAGTAACTGTAAACCAAAACAGTAAGATATTCCAACCTGCATATGAAAATAGTTAAAATTCATGTAGGGGATGGCAGCCCTTGAGGGGCTAATCTCATCCTAAGCCAGAGAAGCTTTAGTTTAGTATCCAAATCACCTTCGAAATAGGAAAACATGAGGCAGAACCAACTGAGTGTGACCATGTCTGGAAGTTTTTAGTGACAGGAGGGCATCTGGGCTAAGTCACCTCTGTATAACTCTCCCTAAATTGCCTCCCAATCCTTCACTCCTTCCCTAGCCTTGCTAAAACTTCACAGCCATGAGTGAGATAAGGGAAGAAGCACAGCTAATTGAAGAAAGTAAGAGTCAGACTATACGTTGCCGTAAATTCCCACGCCCCAGCCTTAACCTGTTCTGGTGACAGCCCACCAAACCTTACACAGTAGGCACAGCATTCTATTGCAGTTGCCCTGGCAACCGGGGAAGTATATAAGCAAAAGTGAAACAAAGAACTGGGCCGAGCACGATTCTGTTTCAATCTGTATGGGCCCCACACTTGATCACTGGCAATTAAGACTCTGTCATTCCTAAAATACAGTCTCCCGTGGAAATAATCCTGCCCCTTCTTCCAAATTACTGACAACAAAAGTATGTAGACCAGCAAGAACTCTCATTGGTTGTCTTGGCAAGGCACAATGTTGCAGCATTCAAAAGGCTACCTGTTTCCTGATTTCAACTACAGTGACATTCTAGAAAAGGTTAAACTATAGAGATGTCCAAAAATAATTCAGTGCTTGCCATGGTAGGGGGTAAGGAAAGGCTAAGTAGGTGGAACCTAAAGTTTTAGTGCATGGAAACTATGATATAATACTGGTATGTATCAATTTGTCCAAACTCACAGAATGTATAGCACATGGAGTGAATCATAATTGGAAGCCATGGATGTGGACCATGATTTGTCAAAGTTGTTTCATCAGTTTTAAAACATATAACACACTGAAGTGATACTGATAGTAGAGGGTCTTACATGTTCATTTGCAGGGGAGAAAACTGTGCTATCTGTTCAATTTGTTGTGATCCTAAAACTTCTTCTAAAAGTTGTGCTTTGATTTCTAAAAATACAGGAAAGCCCTAAGAAATTAAAAGATGAGGACAAATCTTTCCATCCTTCTAATCATTTTCATATATTTGTAACTTTTTATTTTTTAAATTTTTTGTATTTATAACTTTTTAAATCGGAGAAGTCAACATTTTGGAGCCTAATTTCCCAAAGCCTTAAGGGGACCCCAAAAATGAATTCAATACTAGCTACTAATCAGTAGTAATATGTTAGTGTACTGATAAATAACCCTGCTTCTACTATTCCTTTTATTTTCACTGAGTCTAAGAAAGATTCATATAGTTCCTAAAATACTGTAATTGAAAATAATATCCACTGTAGGCAGGCTTTCATGGAAGATGAAAAATTATAATGCAGTATGCTAAAGGAGACATTAAACTTCTTCTATGACCTTTAAAACCACCTCAGTGTACAGAGTGGAGCGCAGGGGGGGTGCCCAAGGTCACTCAGCTGGTAAGCGGTGACGATGTGGCCGCTTGTGTCAACAGAATGCTAGGGCTCAAGGAGGTTCTTAAGGCTGTCACAACAACATCAGCCGCAGAAACTGCTGGAGATGAGTCCCACCCCGTGTCAAGGAATAATTGTCTTTTCATGGATCTTAAGTCTGGATATTAAAGGTGAAAGATAAGGTATTGCAAGTTAGAGTCAAAGCAAAAAGATAATTTAACCCATTTTTATTTAGCACATTCTTACTGAAGTATGATTATAGGTCTTTACTTTTTTTTTTAAAATATATTTTGGTACAGGGTCTCACTATGCAGCTTGGACTCATAGAGATCCTCCTGCTTTCAGCCTCCCCAGCACTGGGATTATAGGCATGCACCACCACGCCTGGTCAGAGCACCAGGGGCGGGGCCAGCACAGCATGTGGGTCCCTGCACTTTCAGTATGATTAACATGCAAAAGGCTATAGTTCTTTAGTGTCTACAACTTGGTGTGTTTGGAGATAGCTGTACACCCATGGAATCACCATTACAATAAATGTCCAAAAACCTATTTGTCACCTCTGAAAGTTTTTTCCCCACCACCTTTATTGGTTTTGTAATAATCTTGTTTTGTGTTCTGTGCTTTCTTTCTTTTTCCTTTTGCATTAAGAACATTTCGCCTAACATCTATTCTTGTAGCAAAAGGTAAAACATGTACCACAGTATTGTTGACATGCTAGATCTCCATACTGATTTATCTTGTATGACTGAAATTTGTACCTTTCGACCAGTATTGGTCCATTTCATAACCCTTAAATAAATAGATAAATGATACATCACAGTGTGGTGCAGTAAACAACTTTATTATTAAAAAAAAAAAAAAAAAAAAGGAACAGCACCTGTGTCCCCTGAGTTTGCAGTGCAATGATTAGGACTTTGTGTGTGGCCTCTGTGTTCTAGCTCAGACACAAGTTATTGTTACGTGTGGAGGAAACATTCATCACGTTAATGTGTCTCTCAATGACAATGAATTTCCAGTTAGATTGTCTCCTAATGATAACAAATGCATCATTTCTTGCATTATGTTTCAGCTCCGACTTTCCCAAGCTTTTATGAGAAACACTGACCCTCACTTGGGAGACTACAAGTTTTTATACTGGATCCACATATCAAAATACTGGAAGTCTTAAATAAATTTGTGTTTTAAAAATATTTTCAAAATGTTCATGCTATCATTCTCCTGATTTTTAATCTTCTAAAACAGCTTCTAACAATTCCACGAAACAGTTTAAACAATTTAAAGCTAACAAGTCCATATATTTATTAGTTATGAAATT